ACAGTGTGCAAGTCCCTGGTATCATCATTATATAATTAAGTTCCTGAGTGTTCATCAAGACAAAAGAAGGACTATATTTCATATTTTCCTATCTCCCCTATGAATTAGAATTTCTTTAGGGATATGAAATATGAATCTATTAAAAAATAACTGTTATGTAACACTTACCCAAGATTTTTATCACTGCTGATGGACACACATATCTCCTGGAAACAGGTCATATTACCTAAAATTCCCACACAGATTTCCTGCCAAATCAAATTTCACAGGTCACAATGGCTTTGAAGTGAAAGACAAATATATAAAAATAACAACTTGAACAAAAACTTTCACTGAGCCAAGTTTAGGGGAGAAGAGAATGGGAAGCAGGATATAGAAGCACATATATTGCCTGTACCCTAACCATGACAAGCTTACAGTGTTTGAGAAGGGATGAAACACAAAAGAAAAAGAAAGATCAAAAGCAGGAGCTATGGAAGAAGAAATCTTATAGATAAAATGAGTCTTAAATGGTAGGTAGGATTCAGATACACAAACAACAAGAAAGATGTGCAAACAGGGGAAGGTATTAGTAAAGGCAGGAAGGGAATAATGTATGTGGCCAGCAGACAATAAAGAAAATACGCTGGCTGTAGCACAAAGTGGGTGAATAGCATAGATAAATACAGCAGGTATAAACAATCAACACTAATGGCTCTGAATGCCATCTGAAGAGTAAGACTTAATCTGGGAGCTTATTTGGAGTGATGAAGGTACTCAAGAAGGGGAGACAACATGCTGAAACAGTATCTTAAGGCAGATTTTTTTGGCAGCAAAATGCATAATGCATTACAGTAGTCCCTCCTTATCTGCGGTTTCAGTTATCTGCAGTCAACTTTGGTCCAAAAATATTAAACGGAAAATTCCAGAAATGTTTTAAATTGCACACCTTTCTGAACTGCATGATGAAATCTCACACAGTCCCACCCAGGATGTGAATCCTCCCTTTGTCCAGCCTATCCACACTGTATATATACACTATCTGCATTAGTCACTTACTAGCCATCTTGGCCACAAGATCTACTGCCATGGTATCACACTTGAACACAAGCAACCCTTATTTTACTTAATAATGGCCCCAAAGAGCAAGAGTAGTGATGCTGGCAATTCAGATATGCCAAACAGTAGATGTAAAGTACTTCCCCTAAGTGAAAAGGTGAAAGTTCTCGACTTAATAAAGAGAGGAAAAAAAATTTATGCTGAGGTTGCTAAGATCTATGATAAGAACAAATCATCTATCCAAAAAACTGTGAGGAAGAAAAAAAAAATTTGTGCATAGTATATATAGGGTTTGGTACTACCCACGGTTTCAGGCATCCACTGGGGGTCTCAGAACATATCCCCCAAGGATAAGCGGGGACTACTGTATAGTGAAAAGAAGTCTAAGAGAAGTTAAGAATTTATTTCAGTAATAACAGTTAATATTTATTAGTACTTACTATGGCCAGGCATAACTCTAAGTATTTTCCATGTATCATTTCATAAAATAACTTGAGGTATTATTATTATCTCAATTTTTCAGATGAGGAACTAAAGCACAGAGAAGTTAAAAAAATTTGCCTAGCATCTACCCAAAAGAGCACAAAACATTCTACGATAAGGACATCTGCCCCCGAATGTTTATGGCAGCACAATTCACTACTGCAAGAATGTGGAAACAACCCAAGTGCCCGTCAATCCATGAGTGGATTATCAAAATTTGGTATATGTTCACAATGGAATATTACTCAATCACAAGAAATGACAGTGATCTAGCACCACTTACACTTTCCTGGATTAAACTTAAGCCCATTATCCAAAGTGGGGCACCACAAGAGCAGAAGAACGGGATCCATTTGTACTCACCATCAAATTGGTATTAACTAATCAACACATAAATGCACATATCAGAACAACATCCATTGGATGCTGGGGAAGGGGGAGGGCGGCGGGAGGGAGGGGGGAGGAGGGAGGAGGGGACGGGTATTTGTATACACAAGGAGTGCAATGTGCACTACCCGAAGGATAGACATATTTGAAACACGGACTTGGGGGGGGGGAGAACCAAGGGCAACACACGTAACCTAAACATCTGTACCCCCATAATATGCTGAAATAAAAAAAAAAAAAAATTTGCCTAAGATCTCCCACTAGGAAATAACAGAGCTTCGGAGCCTGAGCATTTAACCACCATTCCATACTGCACCTCAGCATTCAAGAGGCAAGAGGATGCCAGCTGTGAGTGATGACGGTGGTGACGGCAGGCACAGAAAGGGATGAAGCTGAGGAAGACTCTCAAGGTGAATCAAAATAACCTGATGGGAGGTGAAGGGAGAAAGCAACTGAACATGATTCTTAGGTTTCAAGTTGCCTCATTTCCCCAGTCAAAAATACTGGCTCCCCACTGACAGGAAAATTGGAAAAGAACGTGTATGAAAGGACACAATGAGTTCAGATAGTACAGTGTTTCCAAACTTACTAGAGCATAAAAATCACTCAGGGAGCTTGTTAAAAATATATTAATGGATTTTTAATTCCCACCTCAGATCTACTGAATCAGAATCTCCAGAGTAGAGCCTAGGAAACTATTGTTTATCAAGCATATCAGGTAATTTTTATGATCAGGTAAGTATGATAATCACTGAGTGAGGACAATGGAATTTGGGATTAGAAAATACAACTGACCCTTGAACAATACTGTTTTGAACTGTACGGGTCCACTTATGTGCAGATGTTTTTCACCTAAACATGGATTGAAGATACAGCATTCTCAGGATGCAAAACCTGCATATGAGTAGGGCCAACTTTTCCTATACACAGGTTTCACAGGGCTGACTGCAAGACTAGAGTATGCATAGATTTTGATATGAAGGTGAGGGTGTCCTGGAATCCTCCCCACATATACTGAGGGATGACTGTACATCATGCAAGAAGAGAATGCCTGAAGAAAGTTGGAGATATGACACCAGTGATCAGAAGGGAAGTCAGGGCTTTGATCCTACAGGCAAGGCTGCGCAACTTAAAGGTGTAAAAAGTACAGGAGTTCACTAAGAAAATGAATATAAAGAGAAAAGGGGATCAGGGTCTACACCTTAGAAAGAGTCCATACTCAAGTAAGTATGGAAAAGGGAGGAAAAAAAAAAAGTCAATGAAAGTGAGAGAGGAGTGACTAAGGAGGTCAGAGATCAGAAAGTGAGGTGGCACAGAAGCTACAGGAATGGCGTTTCAATAAAATGTGAGTGGTCAAATGTTGGGAAAAGATTAAGAGAGTAGGGGCAGAAAAGAAACACATTTCCCTTAAGAACTAAAGAAGAAATAATAGACTTTCCAATAAAAGACCAAGTTTCTCAGTCTAGACTATTCATTGGAATCACCCAGGGAACTTTAAAAGCTGTCTGGAGCCTCACACTCGGAGATTCCGTTTTGATCTGGGCCATGGCCTGACTCAGGATTTTTAAAAGTTCCCTAGGGCAAAGCTTCTCAAAGTGTGGTAATAGTCCAGAGCACTAGCATCACCTGGGAACATATTAGAAATCCTGGACCCTACCCTGACCTACTGGATCAGAGACTCTGGAGGTAGGCTCAGCAATCAGTGATGCTGGGACATGCTGAAGTTTGCGAGCCCTCGTCCCAGGTAATTCTAATGTGTGGCGAGGCTGAAAATCACTGCTGTGGTAGAGTACGGCTAGCAGACATCACCACGATATGACTAATTCCTAAAAGGCACCATTCTTGACATAAGCTTATCTCTTTCAGTACTAATTGTGAGCCGATATATTTAAGATAGAAAAATCAAGGAGAAAAATCACATAATTGTCAAATCTTTATATTAACCTAAGGACTCAAGGGAAAAGTGGCTAATCAGGCCCAAATTCAGGTGGAACACTCTGCTAAATAAAAATTTTAATTCAACATTCAATTTGTGAAAATATAATAATACTATAGAATTCTCCATTTTATAATCTCAAAGAAAGAGAGGCAATACAGTACACTGGTTATACTGGAGTCAGGCCTGGGCTCAAATCCCAGCTCCATTCTTTCCTAGTTCTGTGACCCTGGACACGTATCTTCACCTAAGAATTCGTTCTTTAGAAGTGTAGCTCCTAGGAGTAGTAAAACCAAACACTCAGTAAATAGTAGTTATTCATGATTATAATTATTCAACAGACATTTACTAATCATCCATGATATGCACAGCACATGGCAACTCAAATGGCAATAAAGCACAGTATACTCCACAGTACATAAAGACCCCTCATTCAGTCTTTATCTGTTGTTCTTGGGAGTTTACTATTAGCAATGACCACCAACAGCTTACTTATTTGGGAAGGAATGGAGAAAAGTGCCACCTTGAATAGATGCAAATATTGAGAGGGGCCAGAAGGCACACTAAGGGAGGTATGGAGATGGTGACCATAGTAAGCTAGTGAGACAGCGAGTAGACAGACCTGGCTAAACCAGAAGGGCCATCTGGAAGGTAGACTTTATGCTAGAAAGATGAGTTAGGTACAGATTGTGGAAGTCTTGAGCAAGAGGCTGAGTTTAGAATAGTTTTTAAACAACGGAAGATTTTTGTGAGTAAAAAATTACAATGAACTGAGACACAGGAAGTCTGGGCACTGTTCCTTGTTCTGCCACATATTAGTGGCAAAGCAGTAGTTATGACTAACTGGTTTCCACAGCTGTTAAATGAAAGTATTGATCTCCTTGGTCCAGCCCAAATCTAAAATTCTATGACCCTACTAATTTAAAATAGCACATTACCTAGTACCTGGCAATGTTCAATAAACATTTGCATTGGTTGATTTATGGCCAGTAGGAAAATGAAAATGAGAAATATGAAAGACTGTTCAGCACTATCTGCTGTTATTACTCCAAAGAAAAAGGCTTTAGAAATGTACATACTTACTCTCAATCGAGGACACTTGGATTTGGCCAGTACTCCCATAAATATATCAGGAGCATTAAATTCCTGGAGAAATAAAGCCACATCCTGAAAAAAAATTTATTATTAATTTGGATGTTGAATATTCCTCTTTAAATCCTTTATTCCTCTTTTGTAGCTCAGGCAGCCACAAAAAAAATTTAATTCCACATAACCTCCTTTCAGACCCAAGGAAAAAAAAAAAAAACCAAACCATAAAGTTAAGAATTGTGTCAACAAATAAAAGTAATATTAGAGAGTTGTCATGGCATCTGATTCCAGACAATGGAACAATTCCATAAACAAATCTAAACTGTGATACTCCAGAGGATTATCCTTTTTTTCTGCCCTAAATCTATTTACCTTAATGATTTTTCTATCCACCAGGAATTCTCATTAACTTACACAAACACATTTGCTGATTACGTACCAATTATTATGCTAGAAGCTGAAGAGAAGGAAAGAGAGTAAAACTCATGATTCCTGTCCTCCAAGTGCTTAAAACACGATAGGGGAAACAAGTGAGAACTGCTATTGGGTCATGTCCAAAATCAGACTTGTGTTTTCAAAATCCTCAATAGAAAAAAAGTTCTGATCACAATGTAACTGCGACAGCCTCATATTTTCTTCCTAGAGCGTTTGCCCAGTCCACAGTTCCTAAGGAGGCATATCACACAGGTGAATGAGCCTGGAGTGGACGTGTGACCCCAAATGAGCCAAATCTCACCTAAGATTGGGGACATAAAAACTAAATCAGACTCACTCTAGCCAGGGCAACAGAGTGAGACTCCGTCTCAAAAAAAAAAGAAAAACTAAATCAGTAGCTGTGGGGACTCGCATTATAAAATATATAAATAAAAATAAGTTTCTGGCTGTCCATTGCCTCCAATTTTCACCAAATTTGAGGTATAATTTGGGAAGGTTTAACTTAAAACATAGACTGCATGGCTTATATGAAAATTCACATGGAAGGACCCTGGGGCAACTCAAATAAGGAGGCAATTATCCTCCACAGCAGCTGAAACTGAGGTAATCTGCATAACTATTGACTGGAAGAGACACACTCTATTTATTAAAGATTATGGTCAAAGAAAACAGTATTTTCAAAGATTTGCTTCAAATTGAAAGTCATAACAGCAGATGCTCACCACTGTAAGTAATTCAGCTGTTTGCATGTGGGCAATTCTTTGTAGCATGAAGAAATTTTTCAATTTAATGACAGTTAATAATTCCCAGAGTAATACAAGGATGTCCTAACTATATCAACACCAACAATTACGGCAATTAATAGTCACTGAACAAATATTAAATGTCAGACATAGTAAAGTGGTTTGCATATTATCTCATTTCTTTTTCTTTTTAAATTTTATTTTATTGCGTATTATCTCATTTAATTCTCAAAATAACTATAAGAAATAGTTATTATTAACCCCATTACACTAATGAGCAAACTGAAGTTTAAAAGGTTAAGCAACCTGCCTAAGATTATATAGTCTCAGTAGGAGAACAGAGCTAGGATTTGAACCCAGATGAATTTACTCAAGGTTATATTCTTTTTTTTTTGTAAGCGATGGGGTCTCACTATGTTGCCCAGGCTGGAGTGCAGTGGCTATTCACAGATGTGATCATAGCTCACTACAGCCTCAAACACAATATTCCTATCTCGGCCTCCCAAGTAGCTGGGACTACAGGAGCATTGCACTGTACCACGCAAGGCTACGTTTTTAACCCCTATACCATGCTACCTCTCAGGTATTCATTCATTCACTCATTATTCATCAAATATTTACTGAAAAGCCTAATACACATTGTTTTAGGCCCTGGGGACACATCAGCGAACAAGCTAAATAAGGGCTCAGTTCCATGGAATTTTTATTCTAGAGGATTGAACAAACAATAAACATACAAGCAACTAAACTATGTAATTTCTAAGCTCCAGAAAGAAAATAAAAAAGATGGTATGTCCTAGAAACCAAGATAAGGGTGGCTACTTTAGATATATCAGAGAAGATATCTCTGAAGAGACAACATTACACTTTGATGAAAAGGAACTTAAATCTATCAGGAAACAGAGAGACTCAAAAGAATCAGTGACTAACAAGGTAAGTTATGCAACAGAGTGAACAAATTCCATGGGAGCACAGAAATAAGAGAGGATGATTCTGCCTAAAGTTTCTGGGGCTGTATCACAAAGGAGGTGACATTTAAGCAGGGTCATAAACAGTGAGGAGGATTGCACCAGCTTGAGGCCACTCCAGGTAGGCTGGCATGAATAGTGCTTCAACACATGAAAGTACAGGAAATATTCAGAGGTCTCTGGTCCGCACACACAATTCATGGTCACAGAGCAATAGGATATAAGGCTGAGATGCAATCTCACTGGAAGGACTTTATGCCAGAGACCTCAGTGATCAGGAGAGCTCAGTTCTACAGAGGTGCCTCAAGAGCAAGAGGGCAAAGAGGAGGTCATAAGGAGGCCAAAGAGGCCGGGCACAGTGGCTCACGCCTGTAATCCTAGCACTCTGGGAGGCCGAGGCGGGTGGCTCGCTCAAGGTCAGGAGTTCGAGACCAGCCTGAGCAAGAGCGAGACCCCATCTCAACTAAAAACAGAAAGAAATTGGCCAAAAATATATATATAGAAAAAATTAGCCGGGCATGGTGGCGCATGCCTGTAGTCCCAGCTACTCGCAAGGCTGAGGCAGGAGGATCGCTTGAGCCCAGGAATTGGAGGTTGCTGTGAGCTAGGCTGACGCCATGGCACTCTAGCCAGGGCAACAGAGCCAGACTCTGTGTCAAAAAAAAGAAAACAAAAAAAAGCAGGCCAAAAACATGACCCTCCCCTCCACCAATCATCTCATTCAAATAGCAGCTGTTTCCTCTATTTTAAAATTGAGATTTTCACACTAATACTTTATTTAAAAAATAGGTTCTATTTTTTTAAAAAAATTTATTTAACAGGATTGACTAATAAATTTTTTTAAACCATAGTTTCTCAATAACTGTAGGATAGAAAGTAAACTTGAACAATACTTTGAACCAACTTTATCTGACGTTTATAAGATACTGCACCAAGCAACAACAGAATACACATTCTTTTTAAGTGAACATAAAACATTTATCAAGATAGACTATATTGTGGGTCATAAAACAAGTTTTAATACATTTAAAAGGATTCAGTGTGCCCACTGACCATAGTAACATAAAGATATCTGAAAAATTCCCAAATATTTGAAACCTAAATAGCCTATGAACCAAAGAAAAAGTAAGGAAAACCAGAAAGTTTTCAGAACTAAATGAAATGAAACACAGCGTATCAGAATTTATGGGATAATGGTAAAGCAATATTTAGGGACAAATTTACAGTGCTAAATGCCTATACTTAAAAAAGAATGATCTCAAATCAACGACCTCAGCTTCTACCTTAAGAAATTAGAAAAAAAGAGAGCAAATTAAACCAAAGTAAGCAGAAAAAAGTAAAAATAAAGAACGCAGTGGAAATCAATGAAATAGAAAACAATAAAGCAATAGGAGATCAACAACAAGAACCATGAAACCAAAGTCTGATTCTTTGCAAAGCTCAATAAAATTGTTAAACTTCTAGCCAGACTGATCAGCAAAAAAAGGCGAAAGACACAAATTCCCAGTATCAGGAACAAGAGAGGTAATATCACCATAGATTCCACAGATATTAAAAGGATAATAACATAATACTATAAACTAACTTTGTGACAATAAATCCAACAACTTAGATGAAATGGATAAATTCCTTGAAGGACACAAAGTAACCTGAATAGTTCTATATCTATTAATGGAATTTAATTTCTAGTTTTTCCTACACTATACTAAAAACCAATGAATGGTGAATTTTATGGTAGTGAATTATACCTCAATAAAACTGTTATTTTCAAAAAGTAATAAATACACAAAACTAAAAAAAACCCCATACAAAACAAAAAGCCCTTCCACAAAGAAAACTCCAAGCCCACATGACTATATATTTAGCCCAAATCTAATGAAAGCTCTGATCCTCCAGCCGCAGAGACAAAAGTTTAGCATTTACAGCTCCTGGGACTTCATTCCCTGTACTCTATATGCGAGTGATTACAGACACTAAATAAAGCCTTTTCTCAGAGAGTAAAGGACTGGAACTTTTTAAAAAATCCATTCACGGCCGGGCGCGGTGGCTCACGCCTGTAATCCTAGCTCTCTGGGAGGCCGAGGCGGGCGGATTGTTTGAGCTCAGGAGTTCGAAACCAGCCTGAGCAAGAGCGAGACCCTGTCTCTACTAAAAATAGAAAGAAATTAATTGGACAACTAAAAATATATAGAAAAATTTAGCCGGGTATTGTGGCACATGCCTGTAGTCCCAGCTACTCGGGAGGCTGAGGCAGGAGGATCGCTTGAGCCCAGGAGTTTGAGGTTGCTGTGAGCTAGGCTGACGCCACGGCACTCTAGCCAGGGCAACACAGTGAGACTCTGTCTCAAAAAAAAAAAAAAAAAATCCATTCACGACCTCCTCACCCAATAGTCTTTTCAGAGTTTCATTTCCAGCCTCATACCTCATCCATTGACATATCCCATACTCTGCAAATTTCATTCTCCATTTCTTCATCAAGCTCCATCTGCTGCTCCTCATCATCTGAGCTGGATTTGGTATTTTCAGGGCTAACAATCTTCAAAAACAGAAAGAGTGAAGAGATGAATAAAAGTTGTCCACAGCACTCCCCAAGCATAGCGGATTCTTGAATAACGTTTTGTTATAAAACTGATGAGAAAACAAATCGATTCCCAGCTGGAGCCACCGTCTGTGTAGAGTTTGCACACTCTCCCCATGTCTGCATGAGTCTGCTCCAGGTACTTCAGTTTCCTCCCACAGCCCAAAGAAGCACATGTTAGGTTATCTGGAGTATCTAAATGGTCCCAGCCTGAGTGTGGGTGTGTAAGTGTACCTGCAATGGGATGGTGTCCTGTCCAGGGCTGGTTCCTGCCTTGTGCCCTGAGCTGACAGATTAGGCTCCAGCCATCCTTGACCCTCAATTAGAATAAGCAAGTTGGAAAATGAATAATAAATGAATACAAATTATTATAAAATAAAAATTTTACTATTGTCTACTTTATTGATTTCATACAGACACACAATAAATGATAGGGTATGAAAGCACTCAGCAAGCCTGGCATATTTGTTATTGTTTTTGAACTGTGTGATTCCTTACAATTTTCACTTAGTAAACATTTATTCCTTAATTTAACCCACCACCACTACGACCACCTTCACTCACAGATTCACCAAAAATTGGGTAATCGTCTTGTTCTTATCTTTCTTACATGTATACATAGCTCACATTTATCTTAATGTTTAATATTAGAAGTGTTGTGGGTCTTCATTTAGAAATTTATTGATATTTTTGTGTCCAGAAATATGCTTTAGGAAATAAACTCTTGCTTATATCAATTGGCCTATGATAAAATTGGTTTGTTATCAGCCATTTCACTTAAAGTCACAGTTTTCAAGAATTTATTGACAATGTTAAGTGAGGACTTGATGTAATATTAACCCACAATCATTCAGAGGTCACAGACTATCTTCAAAGTATCTTTTCTTGCAAAGATCTTGTTTTAAAAAATTAGTACCTTGGGTAGATCTACTCATTCAACATTCATGAAGTAAATATTGTTGCTAGGCACTGGGGTAGAAATACAAAGATGAGTAAGTTATAACCCCTTGCATCTAAGAATGTAAATGATAGTCATAACAGAAAGGCTAAATGATTTATTTGAATTGCGGACAAAGAGTTATGGTAGCAAAAATGATGGACCAATAACCCATTCCTGGGAGAAGTTGGGGAACACTTCTCACAGAAGGTGATATTTAAGCTAAATCTTGGAGGAAGAACAGTAGTTTGTCATGTAAAGAAGGGGAAAAGAGCATTCAGAGGAAGTACAAGACTTCCCAGTTAAGAAAGGGCCTAGGTGCATGTTTGGGAATTTGTGTTGATGGATCACAGTCTATCACCGGCAGATGAGGCTGGAAAAGTTGCGAAGAGCCCTGGATCCCAAGCTAAGAAACACCCATTTTTCTCTTGTAGGCTATGGCAACTAAGAAGAGTATCATCAACAGCCGTTTTTAAGGAAGATTATTCCGGAAGCGTGGAGAAAACGGACTGGATAGAGATTGGAAGCAGGGAAACCAGTCAGAAAAAGGTGGGGAGAAGAAAAGTTACATTTACTGAGAGCCTCCTATAAGCCGAACACCACGCTAAGCACTCCATGGCCATTACAATCTCAGTGAACCTACACAATGACCCTATATACAATACTATATTATAACTCCATTTTATAGAAATTAAGAGAGAAACAGAGACTCTGGTTAGGTGACTTGCTCAAACCGCTAGCTAGTAGGTGATGCAGCCACGTTTTTGATATAAGAACTATCCATGAAATATATAAATTAGGACCTGGGCTTCAGAAATGAGAGTGGAAATAGGAAGCAAAATCCGAGCAAGGTATTTGCATGGTCATATATTTTTGGAGGCTTTGCAAAAGTGAAAAATAATAACCACAAGCATGTTCAGCATCCCTGCCATTAGACTTCCCTTTGTGTCGAGAGGCACGGGAGTGGCTCCAGGCAGTTTTGGGGGTACGCCGAGGCGGCCGGAACGCCAAGACGTGAGACGCCGCAGCTCGCGCTTGGGGGTGACGGCTCCGGGGCAGGAGGGGCTGCCAGAAGCGGCGCCCGGGTCCCCGGAAGATGTAGGGAAAGCCTACTCATGGCGCGAGTTTCCACACCTGGATGAGCCCGCTGAGGACGCCGAAGAGCCAGTGCTTGCTGTAAACCGTGCTTCCTATGCAGTCTCCCCCGGCCACCCCCCCGTCCTCCTCCTCGTCCTGACTCGGCGGCGGCGGCGAAGGGTTGCGGTCCATGACTTGGCCGCGTCCACCACACAGGAGCCGCGCCGGAAGAGAAGCCGCGGAGGAGGCGACAGGCTTCCTTGAGCCAGAGGGCCCGGCGCGCCCAGCGCGGCTCCCGCCATAGCGCCACCTGCTGTCGAAGACCCGCCACCTGCGAGCCGGCCCAGGTGGCTTGATCTCCACAACCCTGTCCTACTCAGGACCGGGGCATGATCGTGCTCATGGTTATTTGTCACCCTCGCTGAACCAGATATTCCATTTGTCCAGAAGCTCTTACCCGATCGAGAAGGAAGAGGGCGCGGAGGAAACAGAGAAAAGGTAAATGTCTCTGGTACAGATATGAATCTCAAGCCCAGACACAGAAGGGCCTAGAAACAGTCCACTGTAACCAGAGATACCTGAGCCAGCAAGACCCAGTGGAGAGCGTCTGACTTGGAAAAGAAACTGTGTGGATAGAAACCCGCTATCCAAGATTCCGCATCTTCTGGGATGATGTAAGGAGGCATAACCTCAGGCTATCCTCTGAACCTGGAGATGGTCACTGCTGGAGCCAATCCATGGTAACTCAGGGTACCTTTGCTTTTTGCATTTTCCTTCAATTTTTTTTTTTTTTTTTTTTTGGTGTCAAAGTTCCCCTACCCTGTGGAAAGGGTTGGGAAATATTTTCATTTCTCCCCTCTGGAATTTTTTTGTGTAAAATTAGAATTATTTGCCTTTAGGGGTAAATTTGTCTGTAGAACCATCTGGGCCTGCTGTTTTCTTTGTGGGAAGATTCAATCTCTTAAAATAACTATAGGATAATCCAGATTTTCATTTCTTCTTTAGTCAGTTTTTATAAGTTGTATTTTTCTAAGATTTGTTGATTTTTTATTTAGTTTTAAAATTTATTACTGAAGTTGCTCATAGGATTCTCTTACTATCTTTTCCATTTTATGGAACATATAATTATAGGCTTATCATTGGTCTATTTATGGTCCATCTTTAGACATATAGTTTTGTCTCCAATTCCTGCTATTGTTTACTAGTGCCTTATCTTTTTTAAATAAAAACAATGATATTTATTGATCATCCCAATAGCACTGAAGAGGCCCATGTTCTCAGGAAGACTGTCATATTCTGTTTCCAGATTCCAATACAATAACACATTGGATTGCACAAGAATTTATTAAGCAATTTTATGTGTACTTTTCTGGGGATACAGAATTCAATAGCTCTAGTTCAAAAAATGTCCTTGCCCACAGGGGCCCACAGCCCAGTCCCTGAGAGCAGAGAGAAGAGGAAGCTCAGTACTTGCTAGGCAGGCCTTTGGGTCTGAAGTGATTGGGGTCTTTGCCACTCCGGCCCCATCTGTTGGCAGCCTGGTCAGCCCTCGAGTCTTCCGCTCCGTGGCCCGTGAGTCTCTGGATACCCTCTCTGGCGTCGCTGTAATGGAGGCAGGCAAGAAGGAGATGAATCACCAGGTTGATGACCAACGGTCCACCCTCCCATTCTCCCTTTCCCAAAGGCAGGCTCTGAGAGGAGCCCAGGAAGGCCAAGGAAGTGGGGCTCAGCCCTCCTCAGCCCAGGCTGGGCACCTGCAGGCTGGATGAATAGCACCCAGAGAGGGAGGGCTGGGAGTCGCTCATTCTTACCAGCCACTCAGACCCTCACATGAAGCACAGAGACGGAGAGAGCGCAAGAAGAGGAGGGGCCACAGCCTCTTCAGGAAAATTCCCTATAAGGAAGCTTGGCCCCTCCTGACTGTCCAAGCCAGTCAAGCTCTGCTCAACCATCCCTGGCAACACCAGGAATCTGCATTACCTGATGACTTTAGCAGCCCAGGCACCTCCAGGCCCTCTTTGGGCAGCATCATAGTTCCCCCGAGCGTGGAAGTATTTGTCTGAATTTTTGAAATTGGCTTCTCTCATGTCAGAGTAGGCTCTCCACATGTCTTTAGTCCCTGGAAAGAAAAGAAAATGATCAAGACAATCATAACTTGGAAAAATAGAGGAATAAAAAGTTTCCTTCCCATGGATTCTAAAATTTTAGCCTTTGACAAAGCCCTTGGAAATTATACTGGCTTGAAATGAATATTCCTTTACTTTTCACCACCTTGGGTTAAGATAATGAGAATCACACTTGTGTGTTTTATTCTGTTTGATTCCATTCTAAGTTCTGTTGCCACTTTATTTTTGCTTTTTTATTTTGGTTTTTGTTTTATAGCGACAGAGTCTCACTTTGTCACCCAGGCTAGAGTGCAGTGGCATAATCATAGCTCACTGCAGCCTCCAACTCTTGGTCTCAAGCGATCTTCCCATCTCAGCCTCCCAAAGTGAGGGGATTACAGTTGTGAGCCACCATGTCCAGCCACTACTTTGATTTCGACTGTGTGTGATGCATGTAAAGAAGAAGTGGGAGATCTTTAAGGGAAGTTTCATTCTATAATGACCCAAGGAACCTTCTGACCAAGGCATGAGAGCACAGGGGATTCTGAGCGAGCCTGCAGACACGGGGTGCTCCTAACCTAGTCAACGGGAGAAATTCATCCCTGTGGGCAGAGTGAGGATGACTTGGTCCTGAGTACATCTGAATGTCCAGGATATATTGAAAATCCGGGAATCTGTCAGAATTCAACCAGCAAGTAATTAAGGTGAGTTCTCCAAGACCTTTAAATAAACTGGGTAATCAGATGCCAAAAAAAGGGCAACTGACCCACTAGTTCAAAACTTCAGTGTCCTGCCCAATGAAATGGAGGAGTATTGTCTGCCTCAGAGGTGGGCAGAAGAACCGAGAAAATACATGTGTGATGCCTAGAACATTGTAGGTGCTCAACATATTATCACTTCATTTCTGGGGACCCTTAGGAAGGGTGGGATAAGAAACATAAAGAAAAAGGACTAAACTAAGAGGAAGAGCAGGGAGTTATGGACTGAAGGAATCTGATCAAGCTAAAGTTAAATGAAAAAGTTTTTTTTAATTACCTGATTAGGAAAGGGGGGAATCTAATGGTTTATATAATTTGTCTATGAGATAACATCTTCATTTTCTATATTTATTATTTCTGGTGTTCAGACTGATCACTTTCATTGAGAATTATGACATTTTTACTCCACTTATTCCCTCTGAATTGCTGATTTAAATGGCCCCTTACAGTCCAGACTTGCTTAGTAAGTATTTCCAAAATACCTGGCATAGTTTATTACTGTGGCGGCAAAACCAGAGGTAGAGGGTCTCAGTTTTCACTGTGCATGTAAATCAACTGGGGTGCTTGGTAAAGGGAAGATTTTCAGGCTCCAGACCCAGAGATGGTGATTGGGGATGGGGGAGACCCAGGAATCTTCATTACACAAAGCACCCCACACCCCAGGTGATTCTCATGCAAGTGGCCCTAGAACAACCTTTTGAAAACCATTGACCTAAGGAATAAAAGATATTTTTAGCTGAGTGTGTGAGAATTTAGATAGGATTAACAGCAAACCCTTAAAACTATTATTCAGAGACTATCACAGAAAAATAATAAAACCCTAAATTTAAAACTCTGAAAACAAAACTTTGCCACTTTACTATGGCTAGGGGGGTATATTACCCTCGCTATTGGTTTCCTGGCTGTGTGTCAGCCCCGGCAGAACCACCATCAGAGTAATTCGCTATGTCTTTCACTGTGGCAAGAGGAGCTAGGGTTGCCTTCGAAAGGCACCACATCCCGGCTATTTGCTATTTCTCAGATAAAGAACGGGATATATGCTCACAAATCCTTCACTCTTGTGTAGGAAGCAGTAGAGTACCGTGTTTAAGAGCAAGGTCTGAGGAACAAGACTACCTGGGTTAAATCCTGCTCTGCTTTGGAACTTTGTTAAGTCTCTTTGTGTCTCAGTTTCTCTGTTAAGGGATAATAATGATGCCTACATTTCAGGATTAAAGGATGAAAACATTCATTTGTACGTGTAAAACTGTCAGAACAGTGCCCAGAACATACTAAAATCTCAGTTAATCTTGGTTGCTATTAGTATGTGGATGGGAACTGCGTTGGCTCTGCTCGGCCTCCCTGTGAACACCCCCCATACGTTTGGTACACCTGCTTCATGGCTACGCGATACATAGAAATGAGCTGCCCCAGATTTCCCACTAAGGGGCAGTACAGCCCCACTTAGATGAAGGGAACATGCAGCCCTGAATTCCACATCTCTCCCATCAATACTCTTGCTGAAAAAGTGCAGCCCAAACCTCATGTGGCCTCAGGCCTGGGGATCCTCATAGAAGAGTGTCAAAATTGGCCAGAAAAGCATGGGGAACTACTATTAGGAAAAACCATGCTCCTTCTCCATCCATCTGTGGCATCACTAACACCTTGGCCTCTGCTCAAGAGAATCTTGGGGGCAGCCAGGTGCAGCCTCCTGCCCCATCCTTTGGTCCTCACCTTGTCCAGCTTCCCTGATGAATGATAACCATCCTTGGCTGCTGACGCCCAGGACCAGGCAAAAGAAAATGATGCCAATAGAAAGCTTCATCCTGCTGCAGAGTCAAGGAAACACAACCAAGGATAATACACGTTTTGCTTTGGGTTTTTGTTTTTTGTAATGTTGGCCCATCCTTCCCTTCCAAGAATAAACCTCACTCAGTTTTACACAGACACACACACACACACATACACACACACACACACACACACACACACACACACGTGTATAGACAGATGATAGATGATAAATAGAATTTCGGAAGGTCTAGTTCTCCATTTCCGTTTGTCTCATTGGAATCCCCGTGTGTGAGAGATTACAATAGACCTTTAGTATAAACCTCTTTCCATTTCAATCATCTCCTATCAGCCTTAAAACCCAACTGTATACAGGAAGTTTCCAAAGAGGCCTTTGGAAATTTTGTGACCAACATACCTCTCTATAATATGACAGTCAAACAGTCAATAAACATTTGCAGAATGCCTGCTCTACCCATCACTGACTTCACACAGAACACATGACAAATCCTTACCCTAAAAAGTACTCACATCTGCCAAATTCTAATTATCAGAATAGTAGATTGAGGAAGGATGCAGAAAAAGCTGAGATGCGGCACAGGAATGCTGGTGCAGAAAGAGAATCTCCAAAGAGTAAAACTATTGGAAAGTTCTAGCAATTCACCTTTGGCTGTTCGTTCCTGCTGAGGCCTCCGGTGAAGCTGAGCTACTGATGCCGCCTGCTGGAGAGATGTGGCTGGTGCTATATATACTGACTCGTTGCTAATGGACCAGATCTCTCCTCCCTCTTGCACAATCCCTCTTGGCCAGAACACAGCATGCAGAGCATCAGGATTTTTCTTCATACAGAACTAATTTTTTTCCCAGATTGTGCAATCTGGTAACTTGCAGAAGTGTAGCAATTTAGGGTTTTCTGCCTGTTTCCAGTCTCGCTACCGATGGGGAAAATATCCCCACCCCTCATGCAATAATGTACTGACAATTTACTGCAAAGGGCAATCAATATCAGAAAAAGAGATCTGATTGTCTAAAGAATGTGAGAATACAGGGTAAACGAAACAGCTCACCTGGCTCCATTGCTCAGAATGAAGCTAGGACCCTAGGGACCATAGGCTGTAGGAATAGGAAAGAAAGGAGATAGTCGACCCAAAAAAATAAAACTTTCAGCACCAGAAAAGGGAGTCTTCCAGACTCAAGTGTATTCATGATCATTGCTATTGAAGGTCATATGGCAGGTTATATCTGGAAGATGCTATAATCCAGGAATGTTGAATTATAGCTTAGAAATTTGCTACAAAGTCACGTAGAAATGACACATGATAAAGATGAGCAGCAAATGGCCCACAGCTGCTAAATTATCAGAATAGCAGATTCAGGGAGAAGGCAGAGAGAGCTGGGGTGCATCACAAGAACACTGGGAAGTGTGATGTTAGAGAACAGCTGTTTTAACCAGAAAAGCAATACCGTGCTTTACTATGTGAGTTTAGTAAAATTATCTTGGGAAGAAATTTCATGCAGGTGCTATCAAGGGGATGGAGTCCCTGGTCCACTCAACTGCCCCATCCCTTCCCCTTCATCCAAAATGAAAAATTTAAAGACCATTGGATTTTCCTAGAGAAGAAAGAAGGATGCATGTGTAACATGGCAGAGACGATGAGGGAATCCAGAGGATATCAGATCTGGTCGTACTCACAATGGGAGCCTGGGCTGGAAGCCTGAGGAATGCAGTAGGGCAAGCAAGGCCCAGCCCAGGGAATAATAGCTCAGGATTTTTGCCTGGAGTTTTTGCTGGAAGAAGAGGAATGTGGGCAGTGTGTTGAAGATACTAGGGAAATAATCTCCAAGACTACTGCAAGCAAATTATGGAGACTTGACAGCAGAGATGTTGGAAGGTAGCATATAACAGCCAAGAAGGAGGTGAGACTTGTGTTCAACTGGTAGCCCATAGGAAAATAAAGATGGACTTCTAACTTTTGTTACAAGACTAGAGGAAATTTGAGTAGGATATTAGGAAGAGGAGCAGTGACCCAGGATGAAGCAAATCAGGCCAGAGTTATACAATGTTTGGGAATCATTGTCATAGATGAGAGCCTGCCAGAATTAGGAATTATGGCTCTTTCTAGGTGTGGGCCTGATTTTAATTCCTTTTGGCACAATGAGGGGAAAGTTTTAGGGCAAATAACTGTCAAAGGATTTCCCTGTCCCTTTTGTTCTTATCCAAGGCAATGCTAAACAATATACCAGATACTCCCTACACAACTTCCATTCCTTGGAAAAGGTGGGATTCCCTGTGGTCAGATTTAACTCTGAGCTGGCTTGGCTCACTTGGTCCTAGGAATAGACAAGAAGGTGGGAACAGAGAGGAGGAATGGTGTCAACCATCCACAGCCACTGGTCCTGCTGTGCATGGGAGCACTTTTTCAGGCCTTTTACAAGCCTTGCATGTTCTTTGCCTTTGTTCTGCCTTCTGGAAGGGACACACAGTTCCTTCCAGTACCATGCTTAGAACAATAACAATAGTGCCAGCCAACTATTTTCAATTGTTTCTCCTGAAAAAGAAAGATTTCCTGTCATGGTGATACCGAACCTCCAGGCTTTAAGGGGATTTCCCAACAGCCTCCTATAAGTGACTGTGTCCTGGTTTGCGCTAGATAGTCTCAGTGTTTATTGTCCAAACTTAATCATTAACAGTGGCACCTCCTTTCACTCTCAAAAATGACCTGGAATGGAGAATAAATTAGATGGTGACCCTATTGTAATAGCCACATGTGACCAGGCTACTTGAGAGGCCCAAGAGGCCTCCACTTTTTTCTGTTAACAATTAATTTAAGTAGAATAGGAGAACACCAAGACTTAGTTCTATTAAGAACTGGAAAAACAAAAATAAAAAAGTCCACAGGTCCATTGATACAAGAATGGCATCTCAGACCTAAGCCTCAGTCTTAAGACCCAGCAAGAAAAATTTTATATTCCCCAAATATGAAATGAGGAAAATAATGGTACTTACCTTGTAGGATTGTTGTGAGGACTAAATGATCAATGCTGACAGGGGCTTTGATTAGTTCCGGGCACATGTAAAGCCCTTAATGAATTCTAGCTCTTCCAGGTTAACCAAGAAAATGCATAATAATTTATACTTTCCTGAAGACAGAAAGGTTAATTAAAATATTATTACTAAGGCAACACATTAATAAGTAAGATTACAAATAAGAACTACAGTTTTAAATATCAAGATTTAATTTTATAAAACATAGCAACCATCCTTGAAGTTTGGATGTCTTTTCAAGGTTCTTTGTTAGAAATAACTGTCACAAGAATGTGTTTATGATGCAGAAAATCAGCAGCATTTCTTGCAGCCTCAAGACAAGAGAGAACATTCCTTCTAATTTACAGACACTTCTTTCACCAGCAGTTATGAGGCCTGTAGTTTTTTAAGGCTAAGCTCTGGAATTTCCTGGAATTCCAGTAGGTAGTGCTGAGAGAGATGGGCTTGAGAAGCTCAAAACTTACCACAAAGAAAAGGCTAAAGTAGAATTATTAGCAGATGGAATGTTGAATATATAATCTTTTGCATCTAAAGTCACTACTTTGTTATAGTGAAACAGTGCTTACTCAGAATTTTCATCTGCACGAATTCCTTTTTCTTACTCTTCAGATTTCTCTTTCTAATATTAACTACTCATTTCATATCCAGGTGAGAACGTATGTGGGCAACCTTTAAGTGTACAATTCATGTACTATTTAAAATATTACTGGTTTCTAAAAAATTATATGTCCAATATCATTAAAATACCTTTTTAAAAATTTAAAGAAAACCTTAGCTAAAAGAGTATGTTAGTGTGGTAGATAAAACAATCCCTCCCCTACCCCCTAAAAAAGATGTTTACTGCCTAATCCTTGCAACCTGTGACTATGTTACTTTACGTGGCAGAAAAAGAATTCAACACCGTGGACCATTTCTTTCTCTACCTATTGAAACTATGCATCACCCAACAACTGTCAGTCTGATGGCAAAGTCATTGGAGGAGTACACATGCTTCTCCATGGCAAATCAAGGCAGAGAATGGGGCATCACTTAAAAAGTGACACATGTGAAGCAACACACACACCAACTAAGAAATCAACAAATAATTTGGAAATTATTAGAAGGATTTGAGGAATGATTTGTGCTACAACCATAACTTTTGGTACGCAGTTTTACATTTACATACTTCTGTTTATATGGAGAATCAGTAGCACGATTTTTAAATTTAATATATTAACTTTTTATATATTAATTTATATTACTTTACTAGTTAAATTTTTTGGATTATTACCCCACTGTGAGCTCCCCAAGCAATCCAAAAAATAGAACGTTGCTGATATCTCAGGAGCTCCTTGTGTTCCTCTCTTTGGCTACACACTCCTTCCTGCTCTTTCTCCAAGGTAACCCTCAACGTAAACTTTGCCCTTATTGTTCCTTTGCTTTTTAAAAATTATTTTTGTCTGATGTATGTATCCAGAAACAACATACTATTTAGGCATTTGTCTGGTTCTGAGCTTTCTGTAAACAGAATTATGTTGTATGATTCTCTGGTCACTGGCTTATTTTAATCAAAAATATGTTCTTTAGATATAGGCATGTTGATGTCTGTTGTGGTAGTACTTTCATTTTCAATGCTGAATAATGTTCCAAAGTATGAATACATCATAACTCATTCCATAACATCGGGATTGATTCTTTTTTGCTATTGCAATGGTGTTTTAAACAATCTTGTACATGTCTCCTGGTATAAGAGTTTCTATGGGTACAGACCCAGGAGTGGAATAGGCAGTGACTGTGTTGAACTTTAGTTGATAATGCCAAATTGTTTTTCTAAAATAAACGTACTGATTTATATCCCCACCAGCAGTGGGTGAGTGGCCTCCTTGCTCCACATTCTAGGCCATACTTATTTTTTATATCAAATTGGTGAGTGATGAGTACTATCACATTGTAGTTTAAATTCATATTTTCTTGATTATTGATGAGATTGACAATTTTTACAGATTTATAAGCCATTTGCGCTTTCTCTTCTGTGAAATTTCTATTCATTTACTTTTTTCCCTTTTTTATTGATGTGTAGGAGTTCTTTATATACTTGATACAAAGACTTTTGATTATGTGTGCTGCAAATATCTTGCCCCAGTTTGTGGTTTTATTTTCACTCTATTGTCAGTTATTTTTTATGGAAGTAAACGTATTTTATATTTAACAAACTCACAATTCAACAAAATTATAGTTTACAGCCGTGCACTAAATCTTTTTTAGTGCTTTATTCTTTCTCTTTATTTATTTTCTTCACACAGATCTATTTTTTCCTCCCCAGGTTATGAAACTGGCAACTTTCAGAAATGTAGCAAGTTGGGATTTTCTGTCTGTTTCCCGTCTCACTCTTGGTGGAGAAAGTAGGCTGTTATTTTATTCAGTTCTCTGATGACCAATTTCTACAACCTGTGTAAACATTGTGGTATTTTATTTTCTCTGGAGAGTTTTCTTTAAAAGCTAGCACTTTTTAAAGGATTAGAAGTTTTGTGTTGCTTCTTTTTTTTTTCTCCTGGGGATTCATTAAAACTCTCAACTTAAATTCAAACATATAGCTAGTAGTCTCTACCTTTTAGAACAGACTGCCCAGTGGTGTGCTAGAGCTGGCTCATACCAGCTTAGGAGAGCTGATTATTAAGTTTTCAGGGATTTTTCAAGGCAATTGTTAAGCCATTGG